CGCTCAGTGCGCACAGCCGCTCGGTGCGGTCCCCCTCGGGCTGCGGTGGTGAGCTCCGCGCCGCTCGGTCCCGTGCCCCCGGTCCCTCCGTAACCACCGAGGGACTTGGAGCATTGAAGTCCGTGATCCACCCAGATCCCGCGCGGTTCGCAGTTGGGGCTTTACTGCTGCTGGAGGGGCCTGGCTGTGTGCCCCATCACCACCACCAGCTCAAAGCCGTGTTTACAGCCGCGCGGTGGAGACTTTTGTGGCAGGCTTTTTTCTTTTCTTTCTTTCTTTCTCTTTTTTTAATGAGCTGGAAGAAGGGCGGGAGGGTACACGTCCTCGGGTGATGATTTCCTCACCCGACGGTGATGTTTCTGCTGGGAATCTCCAGGTGGCTGCACCTCCTCCCAACAGTTCGCCCGAAGGCAGGTACCTTGATGCGTCAGAAAAGCAACTTCGCCAAATCGTTGGGGAATGGCCTCAGCTAAGGGCTGGGTTTTTTGTTTTTTTTTTTAAATACTCATACTAATATCCTTTAATTTAGTGCTCTTGAAAGTTTCTAAATTTTATAACGTGTTTTTCTAAGTTGCTGTAACTGATGAAAACAACGTTGACGCGAACGTCCTCCAATGGGTGCTTCCGCGAAAGGCAACCAAATGGACTCTGGGTGGCCTAAGACCATGGTACGCGGGAATGTGAACCTCTGCCAAATTCTGAAGGAGTCTCTGAGATTACGAAGATAAAGGCCGTCAGCCTTCCCTCGAGGAAGGAAAAGCAAAAACAAGAAAAAGCACAATGAAATGCACACTAACTTGTGATCAGTATGGTTTAGGGCAAGTTCTTTTAGCTTCCACAACAATTTCTTCATCTACAGTATGATAGTGATGATCCTGATGTTGCAGGGTGGCTAATAGGCTTGTGGATAAGGTATGCAAAGTACCTAGCACCATGAGTGGCACTTAGTAGGCACTCAACAAATAGCTTATTTAATGCGGTTTTCATTTGTGCTAGTAAAAGTTTGACTTCTAATATTGGGGAGAGGCTTACCTATAAACAGCTTGGTGTTTTATATGACTTTTTCCCCTGGGTCTTGCCTCTTTGCCCCACAGAAACATACAGGGATTGATTCCACATTTCAGAGCTTCAGCAATTCTCTCTTCTCTCCCACATCATAATTCTCTCATTTATTAGATCATCTCCATCAACATAAAATCACGTCATTTTTCCCATCTTACAACAACAACAACAACAACCTCTCTACTCCACGTCCCTCTCCAGCCACTTGCCCTTTTTTCCTGCTTGTCCACAGCAAAACTACTTTAAAGAGTTGTTAGGAAAAGCTGACTCCCAAGTTCCTTTTCCATTTACTCCAATCAGGTTACTGCTTCTACCATGTCCCTAGAATTCTTATCAAGATCAAACTACTAAATTGGAAGATTTCTCAGTCCTCATCTCACCTGAACCATCAGTCGCAATTAACAGCTAATGACTTTCTCCTAAAAATGATTTTAGTTGACATCCATAACACTACATTTTCAGTTTTCTTCCTATCCCACCCGCTGCTCCTTCTCAGTCTCCTTTGCTAGTCCGTTCTTCTTTCCCAGCCTCTGAGTAGTGGAGTGCCCAGAGCTCAGACTTTGGACCTCTGTCTTGTCTATCTACATTCACTCCCTTTGAGATCTCATCTGTCTCATGGGCACTAAATATCATCTATGGTCACGACTCTCAAATTTTACCTCCAGCCTGGTCATCTCCCCTGAACTGTAGGCTCTAGGCAACAACCCAGTTGGCTGTCTACTAGGCGCTTCTCCTACTTAACATTTTCAACACTGATATCCTGAAAGTGCTCCCTGCATCCCCCAACCACGCTGTCATAACTGAAGTCTTCCTCTTATCAGGCCTAAAACCTTGGTGTCATCCTTGACTTTTCTATTTCTCTCACATTTCAAATCCAATCCAGCAGGAAATCCTTTCAGCTGTACTTTCAAAATACTGTAAATTCAACTACTTGCCACCTCTAGCCTTAATAACAATCATGCCTAATCTACCAGCATGTCTCAACTTCGATTACTCTTACCCTGTTTCTACTTTTGTCCCCATTCAGGCCGTTCTCAACATAGCAACCAGAGCAATTCTTTTTAAACATTAAGGTAGCTCATATCACTCCTCTGTTCAAAACCCTGCCATGGGCCCTATCTCAATCAGAGCAAAAGCCAAAGTCCAAAGAATGGCCAGAAAGCCATTGATCTGTCATTCTCTGACCTCAGCTCCTACTTCTCTCATTTCCCTCACGTAGCTCCAATAGCTGCCTCAATATTCCTGGACTAGATTCCTAGACAGGTATGCTTCCATCTCAAGGCCTTTGTTCTAGCTGTCCTGTCTGCCTGGAATTCCCACCCTCAGGTATTTGTATAGCTTACTCTCTTACTTCCTTCAAGATGCTGCTCAACTGTCACCATGTTCCTACCCTGACGGCTCTATTTAAAATTCAAAATGTATTCTCCAGACCAGTAAGCTTTCTTATTTTTAATCAACAGAATTATATTACAAAATGTACTTTTTAAATCATATTTGTTGTCTGACTCTCCTCACTAGAATGTAAGTTCTATGCAGACAAGGATTTTTGTCTGCTCTCTTCCAGTGCTCCTAGAAAGTTGCCTGGCACGTCGCTGGTGCTCAAGAAAGAACGATAGCTTTCACCCAAAGCACTGTGGTTGCAGATATTTCTTTGCCTGGAACGATACCAACAATAGTTGCCTGACAAACATCTTAGAGACAGTTGTTCTCTTTCAAAAGAGTATGTCTACCAATACAACACACGTAAAAAGCTTATAATTATGTTGACGATATTCACATGTGAGAAAAAATAGCTAATATTTATTGAGAGCAACAATTATGGTATAGGCCAGGTACTTTTCTGCATTAAAATATTTCTTTTTGCCCAGCCCCCAATCTTTTCTGTTATTTTTTATTGAAATCAGGCAGGAAAAGGATACACAGTGTGTGTGTGTGTGTGTGTGTGTGTGTGTGTGTGTGTCCCTGAAATTAACCTATCCCAGCTGTGTTTATCTGGCCCACTTTTCTAATCACTTGAGGATCCTGGATTGGTCTGCTTTTCCTGCATGGCAGACTTAAAACAAGGAGTTTTCTTTGTAGCTTATCTGCTCATCACAGGAAGGAAAAAAAAAAAAAAACAATACTCTATCAGTAGTACTCTGTGATACTACAGGAAACTCAGCTTCTTTTCTCTGTTACTTTTCTTTATTTTTCCTTTCATCTGACTTTTGCCATCTATCCAGTTATCTCAGACCTTGATTTCAAATTCCCCTTTAACATAATATGTATATATTTTTTTCAGCCACATTGGGCAGGGATAAGTATTTTAATTGATGTGTCAGATATAAACAGACCTCATCGCACTGGAGATTTTTGACAGTTCAGAGCAGAGTCCAGGATTCAGAACATGAGGAATGCTAAACACCAAGGCAAATTTACGAAGCATCTACTCACTTCCACTAGATGGATGATAAAATAAAACATTTATTCTATGTCTCTATATAAGGAACTTACAACCTAGCATATAACTAATGTGATAAGGTAATAGAAAATATACTGTAAAAAATGTATCTCTACCCAATGAATCTATCAGGGAAACACATGTGACCTTCATATTGAAAGACAGGGCCTTCTAGGCAGAGGAGGTAACATGAACAAGGCAGGGTACAGTAAAGTCAAGATAGGTTAGGGAAGCGGCAACTAATGCAGGCTGCCTGAGCCCACAGAGCATGGAGGGGGCATGGGAGATAAGACTAAGGAAGTCAGGGTCAGATTTGGAGGAAAGGAAGAGATGGGGCTTTGAATTTTAAATTTCATGTCTAATACTGTTTTAATTGCCTTGCTCTGAACTCACACTGGCTCCTCCTTGCCTGAAAAATACAAGAAGAGCCAGCCACTGTGCAGGAAGTAGAAACTGAATATATAGGGCAAGGCCGAAAGAGAAAGATGAGCTCCAGCCACAGAATTTAAAGACTCCATTAAAGTGGCACTGATTCTATTTCCTAATATGTTAAATAAAGATACCAGTCCTAGTCAAGGCTGCTCAACTGAATATTCATTGGGCCCAGCTAAGATACTGACTCTCTCTGCCCACTCTTGACTGGGATCCTTATTTTCATCTTATGATGATTCCATAGTCACAGATTCTAAGATTCTCACAGAAATAAGCATGAAACAGGTATCTTTAGGTTGTTGGGTCATGTGTTGGACTGGAGATTCAGTTAACTTAAAGTTCCAATGTACTGGCTGTGTCACCAGAGTCTTGGGGTTACTTGCATGATTTATTTTGATGTTTCACGTTATGGGGATAATTGCATTGTTTCTCTCAGGAGAGTTGTTAAGAGAGCTAATAAAAAACATTATTATATAGCACCTAGCTCTGACTAGAGATTTAGTGCCAGTGCTCAGGATGTTCAAAGTGGTTGTTTGAAGCATTTATTTCTTAGATACAGATCATGATGTTTATGACTATTATAGTTCTTTTAGACTCATTTGAATTTCTGGCTATTCTCAGAAACCAGGAGAGTTTCTGTGAGTTACAAATATGCCTACAGAAGATAATCAAATTCATTTACTGTGTTTCTCCAATGAGAACAAAAAGAAAGTTTATTTAAAAGGTCCTTCTCATGTTCATTTTAAGAGGTT